ATGCACACTTGTGCAGATTCCCGAACCATCTATTGTGAAATGCAGTCTCTGGTCAGAGCTAACACGTCATCCAGCGCAACTGCTTTGGTATGCTTGATTACTGGCTACAATTTCAAGCAGGTGTACCCAGTTTGGTGGTGTTAGTCGCTCCTTATATCGGCTTCGTTCTGGACTCGGGGGTTGCATTACCAAATCCACAACTCACGTCTGACCGCATCAAGACATTCGAAGGAGTCTTCCGAGTCTGTGTGCACAAGTTTGACTTGGACGGCGTGTTGTGTGCGTGGGGCGTTCGACATCTGTCGTGTTGACAGGTAGGCAGTTTTCGGGCGTTCGCTCCATCCCAGGTGGATGGTCTATTTGCGAGATGTCTGCATTCCTAGTTACCTCGGTGGTGGAAAGTGATGTTCATCTTCGGTTAGCATTGCCTGAAGTCTGCAAAAGGTGCTTCGGTTGCCTAGGGACGTTGGTGGCTCTTGTGTGTGTGTGCGTGTGTGTGTGTACGCGTAAATAACCTCCCTGTCAACATCTACAACTCAGTTGCATTGAAAGCTTGCGTGCAAATTGGTGGTTCATTTTCAGCAAGCATTTCTACATGTGGGTGGCGCCGTAGATGTGGCAGCCAGGTTCGACTAAAACTTCAGTGTTGGTTGTGCTCCTGAAACACAAGCAACTACTTCTAACAACATCCAGGTGTTGGCCTCATGATTTGTTGAATTTGAATTTTGTGAAGAATGCACAACTGCATCGTGTGTTCATAGGACTCACGCCCTTACAGCTTAATTGCTCAGACAAAAGTGACGCATGAAGTAGAGTTGCCTTTGCCCCTTGATTGCCGAACGCCGAGAATCTTGCAGGTCCCAGAGTGCTGTAAAAGGTGTGTCAGAGAATATGTGCTGCGGAGGTGGCCCTTGATGCACGCATTGTTCGATTCAAAAGCGTATTTCGGATTCTAAAGTCACGAAGCACCATGGATTCTGTGGCGCGAGAGGGAGTCCTGGCCCGTATCCATTCGTACTTTGGGTAGGCAGGTAATGTTGGTGATGTCAAGCAGTCCGATACTATGGAGAGGGTAAATTGCCGCAATTCAATGGTGTGGGCAGTTTGTTAGGAGGACCCAACCGCCTAAGGTCTGAAATACAGGCACACTGGCGACACTAGCACTTTGGTTCTGCTGCCAATCTAACACAACAGTAGGAGCCTTGTGACGTCCTCCCACATGCAGGGCCGGGACACCTTGACGAGGTGGGCGTTCTCGTCGGAAATGGCAGAGGTCGAATCGGAAAGTGATTTGTTGCTCTTAATGGACCTAACCCTAACGCCGATACACTTTAACACAAAATATCACTTATGAGCACTTCGTACGCCGAAACTCAACTTGTGACACCGAGCTAAGCGAAGTTTGATTTGCGAGAAGAGGGACGAAAGCGACGACAATGTAACGCATTTTGGCAGGTCGCGGCATCATTACGGTGCACACACAGGCGCATTTAGAGCTATTTCATCCTCCTGATTACCTACTAAGCCATCTGACCCCTGCACCTGTGTGAACACCCACCAAATTTTCCACGGAGTCTGAATGTCTGTACTGAGCCATTTGACCCCTTGTCGGAAAACGCGCACCCAACTTCCTGTTGACTCTCGGCGACACCAACTTAAAAGTACTTACGAGCAGACACGAACTACGACATTTGTTTAATCGGCCCAGCAATCGCTCGAGCCTCCTCGCCTCTGGCCTTCTTCAACTACAAAGACGTCCAATGCAATGGCCTTTTAGTTTGGACTTTGAGACTACTGCGATTGCTATCAGGACTGCGAATTGCAAAATCACTTGGCATTATTGAAACGCGTACACGCATCAAGAGGTTTTGACTAACAATTGAACGTTGGTCAAGTCATTTACGTAATCGAACATAAGTTGCAGCTACTCTCTGTCTCACCTTTTACGACTGCCACTAATACCAGCCATATGCATAGGTGTATAGTCTTCTTTTCGGAGGATTTTTTGCAGACACGCTGTTCAATTGGCAGACAGAATCGCCTTGACGCATTCCCGTATGCTAAAGAAGATGTACCAAGTGCGTGGTAGCCGAGGGTTCTAGAACTTTTGTATCTTGCTTGCACCCTTGCCACTGCCTTCCATGCGACCTTAGCTTGGACGCACACTTGCAACGTGTTTGACATTGCTGAAAACCACGTGGCCTGGTCACACGGTCGTCCACAGCCTATGCCCCAGACGGACATGTTGCCTTCGGATTTCGCGTCCCACCCTTCTCTCTTTATTCGACTTGAATGTTGAATAAACGGGACGTGTTCACGCCTACCTTTGCAATCTAGCCTTTTCAACGCCATTGAGATTTATTTCCAGCAAGTTGTAGCTCGCATCTTTTTTATTTGATTTACATAGATTGGAAAATCCGAATTTTATTTGTATGTGAATTAGTCAGGTAACTTTCTACCTCATTAGTCATAACTCCACCCCACTCATCCCTTCACGATTTCAATTCGTTTTGCACTGTAGCGCTTACTGTTGTGCCTACTTTTTTTCCCATCATGAAGAGTCGATCGTTGCAATTGCCGTGATTTTGTTGGTACTCTGTTCGAGTTGTTTATTTCCTCTTTTACAGGCTTTGTACGCTTCGAAGGTTGTTTCATATGCCCAGGGTTTCATGTTGCTGCAGAAGGCTTGTGAAGACTTCGGCTGGGATTTGAACCTCGGAGCCATTGCTCTTATGTGGCGTGGCGGCTGTATCATTCGCAGGTACACTTCAAATTCTCGTTTACTTAGTATGGGAATGTCTTGTGGTTATAAAGTCTGTCAAGCCAACCTCATGAGTGCGCGTGTCTAGGCGACTGCTTTAGTTGAGTTTGGAATCCTATTGCTTTCTGCCTCGTCACACAACCAATTTCCGCAGCACCTAAGTGCTCCAGACTGAGCCAGCTGAACAGGTTCTGAATGCCCCATTTCCAGAGTCACGCTGGTTTAAAGGAAAGATTTTAATTTGCTTTTGTGGCTAAGACGTGTTGAAGTTGCCTCTGCACGTCATAACTAAGATTCCAACTAATAATAGCTGAGGTGAGCGCCATGCTACCAAGTGAAGTTACACATGCTCCACACTGCATAATTGACGGCCAGTGTGCCCACCAGCGACATCGAGACAGTCATTTGCACCTGCCACAACATTGTTGCGCCAACCACCTAGTTTGTTTAGTAATGATGCCTTTCGGTGTCGTTTCTTGCTATCCACTTGTTGCCGTGTCTATAACATGGCAATTTTCACCCGAAGTTGTATACGTAGTCATAATGCGAACATGGCCTTCCTTCTAGACAATTTCCTGACAATAATTTCGGAGGTGACTATAAGTTGTACCCGTGTTTTTCTCGTCATTAAATTCTTATTTTTATCAACAGCCGTTTCCTTGGCGACATTAAGGAGGCCTTTGCGAGGAACCCAAAGCTAACGAACCTACTCCTCGATCCTTTCTTTAAGAACGTCATCGAAATTTGTCAGGTAGGGAAACTTGCTGGAGGTTAAAAAATGCTAAAATATGATATTATTTCACTTATTATTTTAGGGCTCATGGCGTTCAATCGTCTGCGAGAGTGTAAAAGCCGGTATTCCCGTGCCCGGTTTCAGCTCAGCCCTTGAGTTTTATGACGCTTTCAGGTCACCTAGACTGCCCGCCAACCTGATTCAGGTTCCTTTCAATTTGGACATAAATTCTGACGATTTGTTTTTTTCTTAGTACTGACTATTTGTTCTTTATCTTTGGCAGGCCCAACGTGACTACTTCGGAGCTCACCAGTATGAGTTGGAAGACGCACCAGGAACCTGGCATCATACCGACTGGACGGGCGCTGGTGGTGGCGTCACATCTTCTACTTACCTAGCATAATTACACTAGCTTTTCTTTCCATGTTACCAACTTTCTGTCAGCTAATGCGTCTATGACCTGCCGGACCACTTCATTTTTGAAACACACTAACAAATTTCCCTTTTCTATCAGACAGACACCTTTAGTGACTAATACCTATAATATAATCACCACATTGTTATACTCTCATCGTGATTGAAATCAACACAATCACAGTGCTTGATCAGACCATCCAAATTTGATATATTCCCAAATACTCTCCACTAGTAAAGAAACATCAGACCTGCTTGTAGAAACTGTCTTAATTTGAGCTTCTTACGAGTTCCGTTATCAGAAAATGGGAGTCCTACGCAATGTTTATCCTTAGATTTCGACCAACTCGGTAGCAAAAGACGGCTCCATTAGCGTCATATCAATTAGCGAGGCTTAGGTTTGCAAACTCTTGTGGTGGAAATCCATCCATGAACTTCATATAACTACCAACACTAAGCACGACGCTCCGTAACATCGTCTTTGCATTCAGGCGCAGTGGTCCAAAGGGCGCTCGTGTGAGCTGAATGGCTGTACTGTATCCGTCACCGGCACTTGGCCGCCTTTGTCTAAGTTTCACTGAAAGTGGTTTGCCAATTTCCGTAGATGTGGACGTTCACATAGCCCGTAGGAGAGATGTCAAGATACGTGTTGTTCTCCGACAGTCTCAATTTTTGACAAGTGTGTGTAAAGCTCACAAAAGGAAATGCCGACACATCAATTTCCCATGCTTGCACAAAGGTATCACTCCAGGGCTAAAGACAGTACTTTTTTGCAGGCATTGATACATGATTAAAAGACTTGAAAATTTGTTGACGGCGCTGTAGCCTCGATCGCGCTTACTTCAAAATCTGTACGGTCAGAAATATAGTGACACTAAACAGAGCCACGATGACTTGCCCCATGGAGAGGGAGCTTTTGTGTAGACTTATATTGTACAATGGGTACAAGGCCGGTGGGAATTGTTAACACCGAACTCTCATGCCGGAGGGTGAAGGCAAGTGGTTACGCGACGTCCTCGTCCGACCGGTCATCATCCAGGGCACTTGTGTCAGTATCTCCATGTAGTCCAGGTCCAGGGCCGCCACGACTTAGGCTAGTACTGGTTTTTTGTGATCCCTGGTTAGCAGAGTTCTTGGAGTGCTTTCCTTCACAAGCCACTATCTTCATCTAAAACGGCAATAGACGTTAGGCCTAGTCCAATCTGATCTGAACGCCGTTGAGCGTCACTGCAAAAAATTCAATTTGATTTAGCTTGTAGTTTCTGGTGGTTCATGACGATGTGCGTGTTAAGACCCTAATTTTGATTTATATTCATAGAATACGTCAAATAAATACTACAGGTGGATCAAAGAGTTGTGCCGCGGTCAGGGTGGTGCTACCAATATTTGCGTGGGAACCATTAATTGACATGCGGGGTAAGTCTTTAGATGCCATCAGTATCGGCTAGCACATTGAACGTGTGCAGTTCACTTAACCAACTTTGTACTTGAGGTCAATTTTGTAGCACGATATTGAATTTCTATTTGTTGATTTAAATTGATCAGCTTCATGAGTAAGACAAGAATTTGAACCAGGTAAGGGGAAACGTGATTGCTGCGAACAACAATTTGAACTGCTCTGGTCTTGGCGAATCATTCACAACAGTCTAGCTTTGATCTCACACCTACAGCGTTCTATTATCACTAATTACATTGCATTCGAGTTCCAGCATATCTTTCCCTTTAGTCTGCAAACACTTGTAATTAGATTTAGTTAACCCCCAGAATAGACACCATGAAGTCAAATTTCTAAAAAAGACCTGTGTAAACAAAACGTTGAATAGGAAAAGCAGCATATTTAAATGAAGCTTACTTTATCGACGTGCATAGTGCTGGAACCATCCTTTATTTCAACATTGTTTAGAACCAAAGTCCACACATTATCACAGTTTCTATAGGCATTAAGATACCCTTGAAGATTCAACCTGGCCTTAACCTGTGTTGACAAAGCTGTACATATACATTGATCAAACTTCTTCATTATCTAAATGGATTATAATGAGACCTGTGCTAACCAATTACCTTTCCTGCAGTCTGTGGCTTGAGAAGGTTGTGATCAAGCATTTCTTCTAAGGACTCCTGAAGAGTGTTGCCAAGAGTGGTACCCCGATACATTTGATGGTAGTCCTCTGACATTTTACCGGAGAGTTCACTACAAAAATGGAACCTTGTTAGTTACTCCAGGAAGGTATTAACCAAGTATTTACACAGAGCTGTAAAATAATTAATAAAAAGCCCGTTACAGTGTCTTGGAGATTGAGGCATGAAGCTAGGTGAAAGCCATAGGCAAATAACAATGGTTTTTGACGTCACAACTAAGTACACACACAAAAATCCGCAGAGTACTTTAAATAAATGTACTTTTCTACAGATAGGAATGATGGAAATTGTGTCAAAATCAAACGTTTGCAATGAATCTCAGCACGCACAAAAACTAGACAAGATTGTTTGATGAGGAAAAAATGCCCAAATCCAGGTTTTTAATGCAAAATTAATATTTAAAAGAACACAGTTGCTAGCGTAAGAGGAAACACAGCATATCACGATTCGCATAGAATTTGTTGGAAACATTAAAGCTTATGGACTTCACATTGATTGGCCTACGAGAAATGAGTTAAATGCAGTTTGTTAATTTAAACTTCAACAAACAACTTTGCAATTTTTTAGAGCAATTTTTTTTTACCATAAACTCTATATTCGTATGTGCTGAAATCAATTGCAAACATTTGCTTTTGATGTTATTTCTCATGAGATCTGTATGTAATTTCGCTGTACCTTATGTTTCACATTTGGTATCTCGCAAAATTGTATATTATTTTTAGTTCTATGGGAACTGTTATGCTTCACAGTCTTGTGATTTGGAAAAACCAATTTTTTTCCTAGGATTTCACTCGGGTTGTTATAAAGCACAAGGCCTTCTTCAAAGGACTTGAATAAGTAATTTCTAAAGAATGTTTATCTATTTTGAAATTTTTAAAATTTTCTGAAGCCTGATTTCTCAAGCACTTAGTTATGTTTTACGATCCAGCAGCGTAATCAAAATTCTGAAACGACAGATTTGTCGATGCAACCACATTTTCACTCGTCCAATTAATCATAGTAGCTCCACGAATTCAGGACATAATTTCTTTAGACACAGCGTTGGACCAAGTTTGTTTTAACTGCATAGTGAAGTAAATATTTTATATTGTAACTCGAACTGACACTTTCTCAGGTAACGTGGTTAACGCCAAGAACAAGCACTGTGTCGTAAAAAGTTTAACTTGGATTTTGTCTTGGATGAATTTCAAATAAATAGAGGACTCAGCTTTATTTTAAACTTTTTCAAATTATATAGTTTGTTTCGAGGCGTCGACGAATTTCCTATATGTCACATTATCTTATTATTACCAATCGGTTATAACTGCATTATCAGTAGAATTCATTTATTGACCAGTATCTCAGTGTCAGCGAGGTTAATTTTAGGTCTGTTTCATCTTTTCACATTTGTCTATACAAAAGTGTGCTCATTTCATCATCAGTAGCGTACGACAAAAATGTGTATGCGCTTCTAGGCCCTTTGCGCATGTCAGCTCTAAGCTTGCAAGAAGAAGAAATTAATCTTTATATTTGTTCGTTACCACAGTCAAAAAAAGTAAATAAGCCAAGTCAAATGAACAATGCATGTTACCTTTGACTAGAAATTCCCAAGTGATTCTCATCAGGTCGTTTCCCTGCTTTCATGTCCAACAAAAATTGTTTGTCTGTCCCATAATGTACCAGTAGGTACTTAAGTCGGGTAACTCGGTACAATCCCACCATTATGATGTTGGTAGTTTTCTGAATTTAATCACTGGTTTGCTACTGCTTCAAGTGGCGACCAATTAGTGGCGCTATAGTTTTGCCGGTCTAAATTTATTTCAGACATGTCAGTTCAATGCCCCTGGAGCGGGTTCCCGTGCGGTTTATGAGGAACCACACCAAGGCCGACAATCTACGTTGACACAGCCTAACCAAACGACGAGTGAAAAAATGCAGGTGGAGCGTAGCTTAAATAACTTACTGATAAAATAGCAGTAGGAGCATATAGTGGATAACAAGTGCGTTTATTTGGCTTCGCTAATCATTGATCTCTGAAGGAACGAAGTTACGTGATGTGCAGTCACGTAAGTCAATTGAATCGTGTTCGTTCACGCTTGCAATTTGCGTTCACTCACGACTGCTAACTGTGCCTGCTTGCTGCTTGCTACACATTAATT